TGTGCTTTTAAAGTGGAAAAACTCGGAGGCACATGTTGCTGTGATTTCTGCATAGATCTTGCTTTTAGAGTGGAACAACTCTGAGGCATTTGATCCTTTTTAGACTATGCTTTCAAAGTACAAGAATTCTGAGGCACTTGTTGCAATTCTTCTTGTAAAGTTTGTGCTACAGGAGTGGAGGAATTTCGCGGCAGAATAGATTGAACATTCTCTTTTGATTTCAGTGAAGAAACCCTTTTGTAAGCCATAGATATAAGTGTTCCAGCTTGCACATATTGTTTTCCTTTTCCTTTCTTGTTTTGTTTTTGAAGTCTCCTCCTTCCTCATGACTATCGAATCTGTCAAAACGATATATATGAATAAGAATCAGATCTTTTTAAGCACAATATAAGGTACATGTATTTCTAAGAAACAAATCAGAATATAATTTTAAGAAAAAGAATAAAAGAAACATGTATTTCTAAGGAAAGGACATTTATCACTCACTCAAAATAAAAAAACGATGATAAATATATATTTACAAGACATTCAGAAATTATTTATTTAATCATCTGCATCCTTCCAATCCCAATCAGTATCATCAAAGCCATCCTCCTCTTCCGACGTTCCCATAGTTGTATCCTCTGAAAATTGAGCATTAGATGGCATATCAACAACATCAATATGAATATCTTCTCTTGACCATCTCATGTCAACATCGGATAATATATCTGAGGGAGAATATGCAGTTTAAAACTCATAGCAACCACAATTCAATTTACAACAAGCATTTCATAGTTTTTCTTAATATATGAAACAAATATCAAAGTTCTCTTTATCATTGGAAATATATACAAAACACTGATCTACATGACCTGTCAAGAAATATCTTTAACAAGCTTATCATGCTTTCAAATTTATGTTATTAAAGACTTATGGACATTCAAGAAATGGAAAATGGTCGTTGGATTCACATGAAGTTCAGTCATATTCTAACACACCAATAAATCGCCTTGTGGATTCAATTCTTTTCAAAAAGGTATCCCTACTGATTTTCTTTTTGATAGGAAATCAAGGAAAAACAGTCTTTTAAAGTGATAAAACAGATTTTTAAGGTAAATAATATTGATCTAGAATTTTACGAAGTTTCAGATTTTCATGTCAAAAAGTCTAATACCAACCAGCAGTGAATTTCAGTTTTTTCCATTTTCATGCTAATGTATCTCTTGTTTCCTATTGCTCTAATGTAACTATTCAACAATAATGAAAGTGAAGTGTCTCACATCCTAGCTACTCAAGCGAGAGGTGAAATCAAGGAAGACATCATCAATGCAAGGGTAATTACACAATCGATTGAATATTTCATGGAACAACAAATCCAACATCAATATCAAGAGAAAATATTGTCTAGAGTAATCAATTTCACCATAACTACCAACAAAACTTTAAACCCACAATAGCTAAAACTTAAAGGGAAAAATCCACAATCAAACAAAAAAAATACATCAAATAAACTAACTACACCTCAACGATTAAAGGAAAAAGAAGAGATTCAAGAAGAAAACCTCAACAGCTCAAACTTGAAGTTTCTTCAGCTATAACCTCAAAGATGTTAGAACAGAACCTTTAACTGTTGAAGAAAAAAACATCAAAATTTCTCTCATATTTCACAAGAAAACCTTCAGCCCTCCATTTCCTTCGATTTCACAACAGTTTCTAGAGAGAAATGGGCTTACGATCGAAGAAAAAAAATGGTTTAAGTTTGCCCTAAAATTACAGACAAGAAGAACTTACCATAAGATTCAAATCCCTGCAAAACTCCACAAGCTTTGCCTTGAAATTGTGTTCTCCTTGTTGAAAAATAGGTCCAAGAGAAGATGGTGACAGCGTATGGTCTTCTGCTTGTTGAAGAGATGAGAAATGTCTTTAGAAAATGTTTGTATCAATATTTTGATAGAAAAATAAATAAATTAGATTTAAAAAATTGTTGGCGTGGGAAACAATGATCAATGTTGATGCAACATCTATCAACAATGTTCAATAATTTTTCCAAGAAAAAATCCTTACTGATTTTTTTTATAAGAAATCAAGGCAGAATAGTCTTCAAAAGTGATTTTTTGATTTTTTTTTTCTTTTAACTAATGCTACAGGTCTACAACAATCATAAAAAGTAAGGAAATCATGGGTCTATGTTGGTCAATTTGCAGGTTTAAGCTCAAAAAGACAGAACCTGAATCAAGTGCTAGTAACATGGTGGACAACACTGATAGGTCATAAGCTTCAACAAATTATGAAGGTTATGCCTGCAATAATACTATGGGGAATTTGGAGTAGAAGAAATATCATTAGACATGGGGAAACATGACATATAACAGAGTTGTTTATCAGATTACTCTAAATGTATGACAATTTGCAATGACAATTTTTCCAAGTTAGACATGGTATAATTCTTAGAGGATTACAAGACAAAGATTTATTATAAGAGGATCATTGGAAGCCCCCAAATGCAAATAACATCAAGTGTAACACAGATGGTGCAGGTAAAGGTAATCCAGGCAAGAGTTCTTATGCTTATTGCCTAAGGGATCAAGAATGTAACCTCATCTATGCACAAGAAGAAGAGATATCTGAAAATTATACTACAAGGAAAATGAGAGATACCTTGGAATATTAGAATTATTGTGGAAGACACTCTAGTTCTCATGAAAGATGCGACAATTAACATGGAGCACATATATAGGGAAGGGACTTCATTAGCTTACTATCTAGCTAATCATGCATTTGATGTGGAAGGACGACAACTATATAATACATTTCGAGAGTTACCATCACAGGGGAGGAAAGTTCTCAATTTGGTCAAACTGGAAGTACCAAATTTCAGAATCAAGAGCAAGATAATTAGGTGAATAATTATTTTATAATTCATGAGCAGACAGCAGAGAAGGACTGCATGAATCGGAATCCGCTTATTAAGACAGACGACCGAGAAAGAAAGGCACTTTGAAAGTATTACCTAAACTC